TAGAGGGAGACCCTCAGATTACTAAAAATGGTAAGTGATAAAGATATACAAAGTTTGGTCAATGAGTGGCTTGTTCTTTTTAAAGTAAAAATAAAGTAAAAGATTAATTTTTCTTCTTAAAGTAGAAATAGAAAAATAATGGATAATTTATCTTTTCTCTGATGTTTTAGATCCATTGATTTCTATAAGGTTCTGAATATACCCCATGTGGTATATCATAAAGATCCTTTTGAAATGCTTCATTTAATTTCCCCTGGGAACATTTTATATTAGATTTGGTAACTTGATTATACTAGAGTATAAAGTACATCTTAAATAGGAGATCATGGCCATTACATAAAAAATAAATTATAAAATGCCATACCCCTTAAGGGGAGAAATCGTTTATAAATGAAAGCATAAAGGCTCACTCCTGTATTCCCAGCACTTTGGGAGGCTGAGGTGGGTGGATCACTTGAGGTCAAGAATTCAAGACCAGCCTGGCCAACATGTTGAAACCCCATCTCTACCCAAAAGTACTGGTGTGGTGGTGTGCACCTGTAGTCCCAGCTACTTGGAAAGCAGAGATAGAATAATTGCTTGAGCCCAGGAGGCAGAGGCTACAGTGAGGCAAGATCGTGTCACTGCACTTCAGCCTGGGCAACAGAGTGAGACTCTGTTTCAAAAAGAAAAACAAAGAAAACATTTGAAATAAAATTTCAACATTAAAAAAATTTAAAGGCATTTTTTAAAGCTCAACTGATTTTAGAACAAACAAGAATGATTTTACTAGGTGAAGAGTAAGTACATAGAACATACTTTTTCATAAAGTGCTCTCTGCTAAGTTTCAAAGAGATTACGTTTATGAAAGATGATAATTTTGAGGAAAGTTTAGGAACTTGTGAGTACATTTTTGGGTTTTGAGTTTGACTTCATGGAAGTCAAGCATAGCTTTCCAGGTAACATTCTTGTCTGGAGAACATAAGAATCTGGTTTAACACAGTATGAAGTTTCCTAATGAAAGTCAGTTTCAATAGAAATAACATTATGTCCTTTCCAGTGATCAAAAACTGCTGTCCAGAATATTTATCCATAGAAATGAAAAACAAGTATCAGGAACAGTTAGAGATGAGTGGAATTTTTTTGGCTCAGTGTCCAGATTATTAGAAAACCAGTAAAGTCAGTTGCCCATTTTGACTACTGGAATGCTGTCAAGAAGCAAGTTCAGGGAAATTCATCTTTGTGAGATTATTACAAAAATAAGGTTTTAAGAGCCAGAGTTCTGTGGTTAGAACTAAAACCAATGAAAATATTTAAACACAAAAAGACTGTTTAGAATTTGTCACTAAGTTTCATTATTTATGTTGATTGCTTTTCTTCTTAAAAAGAAGACAAAAAAGGAAACTTCTCCAAAAGTCTTTGGCTCTAGGCTTTAAATGAAAATGGCCCTTGAAGCTAACTATGGGGTTTTTTTTTTTAAACTCAAGTGAAGATTATTGAGCCACCGATTTCATGACTTGGGTTTTCTCTTTATCATTTGTTTATTAAATGGAGGGAAATGATAACCCAGGAAATTGAGGAGAGATTATGTGCCAAATATGAAAAAGGAAATAAGAGCAGAATTCTTCTGGATGCATTCCTAGTTTTTGTTTTTTCTCTCTCTCTCTTGTTTCTAACAGAGTTGAACTAGCTACTGTGGCATGAGTCCCTTTAAATTCAAATTCTGGATTTTACTAAGCCAGACTTCCTTCTCTGAGAAAGACACTGTATATTTAAATAGATTTTATATACCTATTTATATACTTAATCAAATAAAACATTAAGTGTTCTTTCAAAATTTAGTTCTAATGAGTTGAAGTCTGCAGTAAATAAAATAGGTCTTCCTTTTAAACATAATTTAAAATTTCCTTTTCCCCCCACTTGCATTCCTGTTCTTGCTATGAAAATACATTAATATTGTATATATTATATTGTAAATTGTATACTGGATAAATACATTCAACAAGTAATTTGGGAATAGCATAATTTCTCTTTCTCCATGTTTGGGAACAAAATAAGTAATTCTAGTCACTATTTCTTAGGGCTGAGCAATGTGAGCTTTGGTGATTGGGTCGTCTGTGCTTACTGGCTAGTGCTACTATTGGAATATAAACTCAAATAATGCATAGATTCAGGGAAATGCTAAGGGAAGGCTATTTCTTCCCAAGCTTGGGTCTTTCACTTTCACTTGTGATCCCTATCACAAAGACAGGGATTGTCTGGTTGCAACTGTATCTCTATATCCCTCAGAAAGAAAAGATAACCTCAATTTGGCTGGCTTAACAAAGCTATGATCCGGTCATTCTTTCCTTCTCCTCCAAGCTAGCGATATAGAGAAGAATAAAAATATAAGTTTGTCTCGAAAAAAAAAAAAAAAAAAAAAAAGAATGTACTTTTGGTATTAGCTAGGAATCATTCATACCCACATTACTACCTTGCTTATCTAAACTGTATTACATTAATACAGGCATTGTGCTAATTATAGGAATCATTTCATTACAATACAGACAGGAAACTAGGGCATAATAGAGTAAGTAACTTACTTAATAAGTAAGTTATGGCAGAGCCAGTAAATGACAGAGCTAACGTGCAAATCCAGGTCTGTCTGCCTGCAGGGCCCACTCTAAATCACCATAAGACACCGATTCTGTGTTACTGATTGTGATACAAGTATTCTGTTTACTTTGTTACATTTCATCAGATACTCTAGGATTATGTATAATTCTTACATAGGTAACTATGTTGTCATCCTACCAAATAATATTTAATAAGTAATTATATGTGCAACTAAGCTCCCAAAATATTTTTAAATATTTGGCCCTTATTAAGAAAGGGTGAAGACACTAGAAATGTCCTGAACCCTATTTGTTTAAGAGCAAAATGTAATCAAATAGTTTATGTGACAAGTTCTTCATTACAAAAGATTCACAGCTAATAAACACAGGAAAAAAAATAAGAAATTTAGATGTTATTATTTTCTAATCCCTAATGAAATAACAGATATAGGCAATGTCATGAATGACTGCTAAATCACTAAGTGAAAAGTGGATGGGGACATTTCTTATGGATGGATCACCTCAACTCAATGAGCTTAAGTGACACAAAACAAAGTCCCCAGCTCCACCTATGAAATATTTTTGACCAAAAAAAGAAACAAACAAACAAAGAACAAAATGCCAAAATCTAATCAAGCCACAGTTTTATCAGTCTACAGAAAATGTAAGGAATATACTCATATGTTAAATAACTCCAGGCTACAGTCATTGTAAACTAGAGTGCGGAACATTTTAAAAAAGACCTATCACCCAAGTCCTTCAACAAACAAAACAAAACCAAAGAATAGGGAGACTTTTGATTTTAAAAGATTATGAGGCATATCAATCAAATACAATGTATAGACTCAATTTAAACCCTGAAAAACCCAGCCAACTGTTTAAAAAAAAAAAAAAGGCATTTCTTAGATATTCAGAAAATATCAGATATTAAGGAATTACCATTAATATTGTGGGGTACAAGAAAGACAACTGTGGTAACACTAAAGGAAAAAAGATCTGTAATTGATAGGGATCATATTAAAGAATTTACAGATCAAATATAATCGCTGATATTTACTTTAAAATATTCTAGGAAAAAATAAAAACAGAAAAACGAGACGAAAATGACAGATTTTTTATAGTAAAAATGAGTAACAGGTACATCAGAGTTCATTATACTATTCTCTCCACCTTTGTCTAGGTATGGAAATGTCCCAAATATAATGAGGAATAATGTATGTGTTTTGTTTGGATTCCTATTTAAACAAACCAACTAAAAACAGGCTATTTTGAGACAACTGGAGAAAACCAAACACAGACTAGATTTTAGATTATATTAAGAATGTATCAAGAGGATGGGGTGGGAGGATCACTTGAGCCTAAGAATTTGAGGCTGCAGTGAGCCGTGATCGTGCCACCGTATGACAGCCTGGGCAACAGAGTGAGACTCCATCTCAAAAAAAAGGAAATTAATAATTTTGTTGGCTATGATGGTAGTATTCTAGTTATTTTTTAAGTCCTTATTTAGAAGAATTATATACTGAGGTATTTAGAAAATAAATGATAATATTCAAAGAAAATAATCCTAGAGAAAATATCTAGGATCTGCTTACAGAAATATGCACACATTTTTATATTTTTTTAAATATTTTTATATATAATATATATAATTTATATATTATATATTATATATATAAAACACACCTGAGATTTCTTGAAAGTATCTCAGGAAAAACAAACAAAAGTGTGGAGTGGAAATAAATGAAACAAAAATGGTGGAATGTTCAGAAGTGTTAAACACAATAAGTAATTAATATAATTCTATATAATTAGTTCAATATAAACTCTATTTTATGTATGTTTTAAAAATTTCACACCAAAAAGTTTTTAAAGAATGACCTCTAAAATGGCTTAAGACCAAATAACAAGACATGGCTTTCATTTTCTGAGGCTGAAAGGCCTAGGAATGAATAAAAATACACACACACACACGTATATATATATACACACACACATCTAAAGATGAGGGAAAAAGAATGATGTGATTTTGACAAAACAAAAGTATATCAATTTAAGATTGTTCAGGTATTCCTAAGAAGGAAGAAGCCATTACAAGATTGTAAAATTGGGTGGGGAATATAGTAGGCACTCAATAAATGTTTCTGAATAAATATAGATAATCTTTTTTCCTTTTACAGTATCTAGAAATGCTCAGTCTAAGTTACTATAAACACTACATTCAATGAATTTAAAACTGTCTAATTTTAACATATTTGTGAAGATTAAATTTGAAACTAAAGAAAATCTTTATCATGATAAAATTATTTAAGAAGAAATGAAATAACCCTGAATATAATGTAATTCAACCTGCTCTTTGTACATTTCAAGATAATGAGGCCCAGAGTAACAAAGGTTATACCTATGTTTATATTCAAAACATTTACTCACTTTATAAGACTGGAATTCTTCTTACTAAATGGTCCAATGATTTTAAACATCAGTTCCACAACTCCATTTTTCCCTAAGGATACTGAATTCACAGCTGAGAAGGAGAGAAAAAGATGGGAAATTATTTTTAATTCTCAACAAATATTACTAAATATATTATAGAACCAGGCACAGAGGCATGTGCCTGTAGTCCCAGCTGCTTGGGAGGCTGAAGTGGGAGAATAACTTGAGGCCAGGAGTTCAAGGCCAGCCTGGGATGTATAGCAAGACCCTGTCTCTAAAAGAAAGTTGTTTAATAAAAAATTTTTAAATTATAGATAAGCCATTTGCTAGCCTTCTGTTGGTTAATCCAATAAAATGCCACCAAAAATGTAGTTCCTAATGTTTTGCAGGATGATTTTAATTTTCTCTGTATCTGTTTATTATTCAACTATCCCTTCTAATTTCATGTCTATACTGTATTCCTTTTGCCTTGATTGGAGTACTTGGTTGTTTAGCTTTTTTATTTTTACATTTGGGAGCTTTTGTTGCTTTGCTGTTTTTGAAACAGGGTCTTGCTGTGCTGCCCAAGCTGGAGTGCAGTAGTGCAGTCATGACTCAACCTCCTGAGCTCAAGAGATCCTCCAGTCTTAGCCTCCTGAGTACCTGAAACTGCAGGCACACATCACCACAAACACCCAATTTTTTCCATTTTTTATAGAAATGGCATCTCACTATGTTGCCCAGACTGGTTGCAAACTCCTGGCCTCAAGCAGGCCTTCGGCCTAGCCTCCAAAGTGCTGAGATTACAGGCATGTGCCATTGTACCAGCCTATTTTTAACCCAATACAGTTTTATTTTTTAAATCACCTGCTTTTCTATTTTCTAACGCATATTTTTCATTTTCCCTTTACTATTTCATTTCCTGACTTTCCTGGTGTGTACCTCTCTATTTTAACCTCTTTGGTTAGATATCTAATTCATTCATTTCCTTATGTTTGTTTTAGTTACATGTTATTTAAGTGTTCTAAGCTGTCTTCCTCAGAGCACACCTTGAGCCATATTTTCAAGGTACTGATATATAACACAGAGACATATACATGTTTACGTATGTTTACATATTACATATATGTATATATACAATATACATACATATCTAGTACTCTATAATTATTTTGCAATGATATTCTGCAATAACATATATTCTGCAATTCAATCTTAGGTTCTTTCATTAACCACTTCAATTCCACAATCAGAGAATAGAAAGAAAATCCATACCTCATGGTGTGGATTCTCATATAGTAACAGTGTGTGTTTTGGAGACATTTTATCTGAGTCTATATCTCTGTGATCCCTCTTCTCTCTAGCTTTCTCAAAGGCTCCCATACTAGTTATTTTCAGTTCTGCTACTTCCCTATTGATTGCTGAAGGGAATTAGCTCCAGGTGACTACACTACTGCATCCCTTCCTTCTCAGCTTTCCTGTCATCTGTGAAAGTCCAAAGAGGCACAGGAGTTTTTCCAGCTGCCAATATCCTGATACTCCTCCACATCTTTTCCACAGGCTGCCTACCCATCCTCCTCATTCCTATCCTTTATAAATTGAGGAAATTAGTAAAAATGTTCAAGGTTTCATCAGCTTACCTTCTTACCCCATATCACTTTTGTTGTGGTTGAAGTCAAGAGTTAAAATTAGCCATATTAAATCTTATCTTTCGTTTTTCACAAATTTCAGAGGTTTATAGAATTAGGATACTTTAAAATTCTCATTTTGGGTAACTTTACAACACTGGGTTAACTAAAAGCCACACAAATACTCACAGTTGGCAGAATATACTCGTAGAAGCTGAAGGCAAGGTAGCACCAAGCGATGATTCTGTAAATTCTGCTTGACCAAATTCAGGGTTATATTCAGAGCCCCATTAATTCTAGCTTTTACTCCAAATTTTTTATCTGTTTAAA